GGAAAATTTAAACATTTTCTGGTTGACAATTGGTTGAGTTTATCTAAAGACCTGAGATCATAGAAAGGAAATGTTCAGGTTAAGGTAAGAGATTGTGGAGACCAAGGTTCTTTTGAAGTTTTATAGCGGGTGCCCTTAGAGACCATAGATAACAAATGTTTCCTATCCAGATCTTTAAAAGGTGCTAGACTTAGGCCGGGTGTGGTGGCTCACACCTGTAATCCCAGCACTTTGAGAGGCCGAGGGGGGTGGATCACCTGAGGTCAGGAGTTTGAGACCAGCCTGGCCAACATGGTGAAACCCCATCTGTACTAAAACTACAAAAATTAGCGGGGCATGGTGGCAGGTGCCTATAATCCCAGCTACTCGGGAGGCTGAGGCAGGAGAATCGCTTGAACTGGAGGCAAAGGTTGCCGCCCACTGCACTCCAGCCTGGCGACAGAGCGAGACTCCGTCTCAAAAAAAAAAATAGACTTTTAGTTAATTTTCTTTTCTTTCTTTCTTTTTTTTTTTTTTTTGAGACGGAGTCTAGCTCTGTCGCCCAGACTGGAGTGCAGTGGCCGGATCTCAGCTCACCGCAAGCTCCGCCTCCCGGGTTCACCTCATTCTCCTGCCTCAGCCTCCCGAGTAGCTGGGACTATAAGCGCCGCCACCACGCCTGGCTAATTTTTTGTATTTTTAGTAGAGACGGGGTTTCACCGTATTAGCCAGGATGGTCTCGATCTCCTGACCTCGTGATCCACCCACCTCGGCCACCCAAAGGGCTGGGATTACAGGCGTGAGCCACTGCACCCGGCCTTTTTTTTTTTTTTTTGAGACGGAGTCTGGCTCTGTCGCCCAGACTGGAGTGCAGTGGCGCAATCTCGGCTCACTGCAAGCTGTGCCTCCCGGGTTCAAGCGATTCTCCTGCCTCAGCCTCTCCTGTAGCTGGGACTACAGGCGCCCGCCACCAGGCCCGGCTAATTTTTTTTTATTTCTAGTAGAGACGGGGTTTCACCGTGTTGTCCAGGATGGTCTCGGTCTCTTGACCTTGTGATCCGCTGGCCTCGACCTCCCAAAGTGCTGGGATTAAAGGCGTGACCACCGCCCTGGGCCAGTTAATCTCTTCAGGATTGGGAGGGTCTAGAAGAAGAAGATCTAGCTATGTTAATAGAAATTCTTTACAGATGCAAATTTTCCCCCACAAAGGACAGCTTTCAAGATATGGCAAAGAAACATGTTTTGGGGTAAAATATTTTGATTTTCTTCCTCGCCTCTGAATGTTATGCCAGAGTCAGGTTGGAAAGTAAGTCACTATATATAGGGTTAAATAAAACCCATCTGCTGAGAATTTATGATTTCTAGGCCATGACTCCCCAGACCCCTTAGATGAGAATTTAGGCAAGATAAAAAAAAACCAGAGTTTATTCCTCAATAGAGTCAATGTTCAGTTACATTTGTCTACATGTCTTTGTTCACCATTTCTACTTGCATATCAAACCACTTATGGGATAGTTCCTTCTTCAAGAAGGTGGCTGGTCCAGCCTTTACCACACAATAGTCGAACCATCTGGCAACGGTAATCCGTCTTACTAAAAAAAAAATAGCCGGGTATTGTATACTTGAGGCAGGAGAATGGGTAACCAGGAGCACTTGGTGAGTGATGCACTCACCACAGAGAAGACTCCGTCTCAAAAGTGTCCTTTTTTATTTTTTTTTTTTTTTGATTACACCAAGAGGGTCTTTTTTTTTTGTTCCCAGGCACAGTTTCTCTCTTGTAGCCCAGGCTGGAGTGCAACACTGCAGTCTTGGCTCACTGCAACCTCCACTTTCCAGGTTCAAGCAATTCTTCAGCCTCAGCCTCCCAAGTAGCTGCGATTACAGGTGACCACCATACCTGCCTAATTTTTGTGTTTTTAGTAGAGATGGGATTTCACCATATTAGCCAGGCTGGTCTCCAACTCCTGACCTCAGGTGATCCACCCACCTCGGCCTCCCAAAGTGCTGGGATTACAGGCGTGAGCCACCACACCCAGCCTTAAGTGTTTTTCTTGAGAGGAGATTTGTATTAGCTCCAGACAGGATCCTAGGGACACTCTTATTCCAGGAAAATGTTTAAAATACCCTATTAGTGCTACGTTATAGATTATGTTGTTCATGAGGAAGGACTTGTAGTTACCAATTCTTTTTTCTTTTTTTCTTTTTTTTTTAGATGGAGTCTTGCTTTGTTGCCCAGGCTGGAGTGCAGTGGTGCTATCTTGGCTCATTGCAACGTCTGTCTCCCAGGTTCAAGCAATTCTCCCACCTCAGCCTCCTGAGTAGCTACACCACTACACCCGGCTAAATTTTTGTATTTTTAGTAGAGATGGGGTCTTACCATGTTGGCCAGGCTGGTCTTGAACTCCTGACCTCAGATGATCCGCCCACCTCAGCCTTCCAAAGTGCTGGGATTACATGCATGAGCCACCACACCGGGCCTGTAGTTACCAATTCTTAGATGAGGTTCATGACTCTCTTCAATAGCCTTGTAAGTAGGGGAATACACCCCATGCAGTGTACATCAGCTGTATGGAGAAGTCAAACCACAGTTTCCTTTACTGATAATCCCCCAGGGTTGGTTGGTTGGTTTGTTTGCTTGTTTATTTATTTATTTGAGACAGAGTTTCACTTTGTCACCCAAGCTGGATTGCAGTGGCATGATCTTATCTCACTACAACCTCCGCCTCCCAGGTTCAAGCAATTCTCATGCCTCAGCCTCCCAAGTAGCTGGGCTTACAGGCACCTGCTGCCATGTCCAGCTGATATTTTGTATTTTAGTAGAGACGGGGTTTCACCATGTTGGCCAGGCTGGTCTGGAACTCCTGAGCTCAGGCAATCCGCCCACCTAAGCCTCCCGAAGTGCTGGGATTACAGGTGTGAGCCACCGCGCCTGGCCCAGGTTCTGATTTTACTAAGCTTGCTCCATTCAGTTTGTTGAATTACTTCATTAATATTGTATTCAGTTGCTTTTGTGGAATTCTGTAGTGTCAGGGTAGAATAAATAAATTGTCAAGGATGTCCTCAGCAAGTTTTCCTCAAAATATCTGAGATAGGGCATTTCCAAGGCCACATTCTGACTTTCAAGGGCCTTAAGTACTCTTATCTTTGTGAACCCCTCCCACCATTACAATTAATAATAATTGTTTTTACAACAGTGTTGGTATAAAGACAAATTTAATTCAAGCTGGATCATATCATTATTTCTTCTCATTTTAAAAGAAATTAAAACATTTTCATGGGCCCTGGATAAGTTGGCCCTGGGTTTTGAGTGTCTCACCCTCCCTTCATCTCTACTTAAGCTGTATTGGTGAAAGGAAAGAAAAGAGTGAACTACTGGGCACGGTGGCTCACTCCTGTAATTCCAGCACTTTGGGAGGTTGAGGTGGGTGAATCACCTGAGGTCAGGAGTTTGAGACCAGCCTGGCCGACATGGTGAAACCCCATCTGTACTAAAAATACAAAAATTAGCCGGGATGGTGGCGTGCATCTGTAATCCCAGTTTCTCAGTAGGCTGAGGCAGGAGAATTGCTTGAACCCGGGAGGTAGAAGTTGCAGTGAGCCAAAATCGTACCACTGCACTCCAGCCTGGGCAACAGAGCAAGATTCCATCTCAAAACTAAAAAAAAAGAGGAATGAACCTATATAAATTTTCATCTCATCCCTGTTTCCATTTCACTTATTTTGCCAAAGTTCCCATTCTTATAGTATCCTCATCTCTAGTCCTTTTTCTCTACCTTTCTTCTTAGGCCAAAACATTTCACAAAGTACCAAACCTGCCCTGTACTAAAAATAAGAAAAAGATAAGACGTTTACCCAGGAATAAAAATCTATTGCTTGTGTTATTTAAGCTTTTCCTTATCTTTGTGATCATGTTTGTATTTTGGTGTAGAGATGCTTCTGGTTGCGTGTTTGAATGAAAAGAAAGAAGACTAACAGAATAACGACTAATTTGTATTCTTTTTTTTTTTTTTTTTTTTTTTTTTTGAGACGGAGTCTCGCTCTGCCGCCCAGGCTGGAGTGCAGTGGCCGGATCTCAGCTCACTGCAGGCTCCGCCTCCCGGGTTCACGCAATTCTCCTGCCTCAGCCTCCCCAGGAGCTGGGACTACAGGCGCCCGCCACCTCGCCTGGTTAGTTTTTTGTATTTTTTAGTAGAGACGGGGTTTCACCGTGTCAGCCAGGATGGTCTCGATCTCCTGACCTCGTGATCCGCCCGCCTCGGCCTCCCAAAGTGCTGGGATTACAGGCTTGAGCCACCGCGCCCGGCCTTAATTTGTATTCTTTTTCTGAGATTTTACACTAACTCTGGTGGTGTGCTTTAGGAAAAAAATTCAAAGAAAGAATTATAATGGCTGGTGTTTGTGACATACACACCCACAGGGCATTTTGAGATTAGATGGCTCAATGTTTGCATAGTGCTGTGGGCATTATAGATCAAAGATGCTGGGCTTCACCCAATGTTAAACCCATTTAATTTATACCCAGGTCATAAATTTAAATATTACGGAAGTGTATGGCACCTCATATACTTTATATTTTCCTGGTTTCTTGTTGGCTGGGGACAGCTTTTTGTCTGATACGTAATAACAATGCTTTATGTTTATAGGCAGTATAACATCTTTTCATCCAAGGAGTTCAAAGAACTCAGCAATTATGACTCATTGTTCCTTAAAATACTTTTATAAAACCAGAGGTGACAAGCATTGAGGTAAACTTGTTATAAGTAGGGAAACTAGAGTCATGGAAACATTAAAGGACTAACCAGATATTTTGGGAATCAGAGATGGAATTCAGAATAAGTCCCCCTTCCTTTGATTAGAACGAAACGAGTGCACCCTCATTTCCTCCTCATGAAGGTATTGATTCAAGGACTTCAGTTGCATTTATGATAAAGATAATACTTAACTTTGAAGGGTTTACATTTACCTGCCTCTCTAAGTTCATCTCAATGTCCCCGTCCCCACTGTGACTGTTTCCTTTGCAGATGCTGTTCCCTTTGCCTGGAATACTTGACCTTCTCAAGCGGGTATCTCCTAGTCATCCTTATTATTTCAGATCAAGCATCCTTTCCTACGTGACCTCTCTGATTACATTTGATTTAATTTGTATTATAACTCTCTCTTCCTTTCTTCGCCATCGTGGTGTGTGCTTGACTCCACTTCTCGCCACGGTTTCTCACAACTTTCAGGATTAAGCGATTCCTGGCAAAGAAACAAAAGCAAAATTATCCCATTCCCCAGTAGATTCGGATGAAAATTGGAAATAAAATCAGGGACAACTCCAAAAGGAGACATTGGAGAAGAACCAAGCTGGGTCTGTAAGGAATTACACTGAGATGGCACACGTATTTATGCTGTCTCAAGGTCATGACCATGTTGCCATGTCAAGCTGAAAATGTCACCACTATCTGGAGAGTTGGTCATGTTTTATTGGGAATATTTTTTTTTCTCTCTGAATCTATTATGAACGTGCTGGTTGACTGGGTCCAGTAATAAATATGTGAGACCTTTCATTTCAAAATATAAAAATAATAATAATTTGCATTATATTTCTCAAAGCACCGGGCACCTCCCCTTGAGAGCACTTTCTACAGTTGCAGGTTCAAACTTGAATGTGTTATTTGTTTGATTGTTTGATTCGTGCCTATCCCACTCACCCAACTGTAGGCTCTGGGAGGGCAGGGAGCATGTGGGTTTTTCCTTACTGTTGTAGCTCCAGCATCTAGTTTAGTGTTTGGTGCTAAATATAGGCTCAAACATATTTGTTGACTGAATACATTTAGATTTTAGAAAAAGTGTTCTTTCTTTAAAAGAACAGAAAGAGAAAGAAAGGGACTTGCTTTGTTGCCCAGGCTGGTCTTGAACTGCTGGCCTCAAGTGATCCTCTCCCACCTCGGCCTCCCACAGTGTTGAGATTACAAGCATGAGCCACCATGCCCCGCCAAAAGTGTTCTTTATTTCTTTCCTTCCTTCCCTCCCTCCCTCCTTCCTTCCTTCCTTCCCTCCCTCCCTCCCTCCCTCCCTCCCTCCCTTCCTTCCTTCCTTCCTTCCTTCCTTCCTTCCTTCCTTCTCTGCCACCGGGTTCACACCATTCTCCTGCCTCAGCCTCCCGAGTAGCTGGAGCTACAGGCGCCCACCACCACGCCCGGCTAATTTCTTGTATTTTTAATAGAGATGGGGTTTCACCGTGTTAGCCAGGATGGTCTCGATCTCTTGACCTTGTGATCCGCCTGCCTCGGCCTCCCAAAGTGCTGGGATTACAGGCATGAGCCACCATGCTGGGCTTCTTTTTTTTTTTTTTTCAAGATGGAGTCTCGCTCTGTTGCCCAGGCTGGAGTGCAGTGGCACAATCCCAGCTGACTGCAACCTCTGCTTCCTGGGTTCACACCATTCTCCTGCCTCAGCCTCCTGAGTAGCTGGGATTACAGGCACCTGCCACCATGCGCGGCTAATTTTTGTATTTTTAGTAGAGAAGGGGTTTCACCACATTGGCCAGGCTGGTCTTGAACTCCTGACCTGTGATCTGCCAGCCTCGGCCTCTCAAAGTGTTGGGATTACAGGCGTGAGCCACCGCGCCCAGCTGAGTGTTCTTTAAAAATTTGCACCCAAATTCTGCAACTTCAACTCAGAATTATAATTAGGGATAAAATGATTGGCATTCTAAATTATTATTCTAAAAACTGCTTGAACAGCATAGAATGCCTTAGCAACTTAAAATATAGTAATTAAAACTTGAGTAAGATAAGAGACAAATTAGGAAGGCAGTGAGAGGGGAGAGCTCAGAAAAACTGTGATTAAGGGGATCTACCACAATTAATACAAAATTTGACTCTGGTTATTGGAAATCTGAGATTGGACAGGAAAGCCAAGGGATTATTTCTGTAGCAACAGTCCCCACTTGAATCCAAGAGGCAGACTCCTCTCCATGCATCTTTTTGGCTCCGGGTGAGGGGGTACTCACTAAAGATTTTTCTAGGGCACCTGAAGAGAGAGAAGACTGAATGCATAGGCTTCATTTGAATGAAGACTGACAGCTCTACTGTCTATTTCCTGGCCTTATTGAAGGGCTCACATCTGAGACTCCTGGAGAATTGCTGCCAGGCTGCCCGCAAATCCTTGTACTGCCCAGGTGCTCAAATGTGACAGAATGAGCAAGAATCCCTCTTCTGAAGTCAGGCTTTTTGACTTAGCAGAGAACAATCTAAAGTTTGCTTTTTCTGTTTGTTTTTCTTTCCTTTTAAACAGGGGCCTGTCATAATCCTATCTGTGTTTTGGAAAGAAAACTCTAGAGGCAGTGCCAAGGATGGATCTGAAGAGAGCAGAAAAAACAAAAGGGAAATTATTGAAGTTGTTTTCATAGTCACAGTAAAAACTGGTGGGGTCTGAACTCAGGTTGTTACAGTGATCTGAGAGGCTTAGGAGATATTTTGGAGGGATGACTAGCAAAATTTGAGCCCAGCTGGATATGGGCAGTGCGGAACAAGAAACAAAGCTGTTTCAGGTTTCTAGGTTTGGCAATCAATGTAAAAAGGTGCTACTAATTTAATAGGGATAGTGGACAAGCAGGTTTAGTGGAGTACAAATGTTGGGTTTTCAGTGCCTGAGGGACATCCATGTGAAGATGCCAGAAAGAGCCGACCTGGCTGGAGATCTAGATTTTGGAACCTAGATTGTACTCCTTTGAGGAATTTGTTTGTTTTTTTTTATTTGGACATAAAACTAAGTGCATCTTCTCATAGCAGCTATGCTGTAAATGAATGTAGTTAATTTACCAAGGAAGCCTCCAAACACCCATTTAGCCTCCAGTGTTCTGGATAGAGCGTGGTGAAATATTTATAAGAATGTTTCCAGGGGGACTTGGACTCACCGGGCCAAGTCAGTACTCCAGTAAAGCATCTTTCCTTGCTCAGACAAGAATTAGGAGTGAAACCTTATTCTCCTTCCTAACAAAGGAGCATAGATGGTTTAAGGGCAAAGTGCAGATTCTTTGGTGTTAAACTAATACTGTTTGCAGTTTTAGGGAGACAGAGCTACATTTTCATGTTGCAAAGTGAGAGAGAGAATTGGCAGATGTTTCAGGAAAGGATAAGTATCTAGCTTAGGTAGAGGCTGAGAGTAATGTAGTGGAAAGTTGGAGTGAATGAACAGCAGGAGTGGTAATTCAGCAAGAATAGGATGCCTGGGAACCACAGATCCCCAGCAGCCTTGGTGACCTTATTAATGAGTTTGGGAAGATACCAGCCACACATTCTACTAATCAGGAATGAAGAAGAGAAGGAAGGTGAAGTGGAGTGGGTATCCAGGAGCAATAGCAGTGGGCAGGGAAAAGTGGTTCTTTGGATACTAGATGATTCCCTGTTAGGACAGCCGTTGGTAGGTATGTTGATTTAATGTAGGATTGCTGGTAGCAAAAACATTATCTCAACTCACAACTCAAACTCTAAAGGACAAGGAAAATTGCACATTTCTGATAAAGGAGAAACTCTACTATTATGCAAATGGACATGTTGTTCAGGTGATCTTACCTATCCCTACTTTTATAGCTTTAAAAGTCAGTTAAGCCAAGCTCAAAGATATGTGCCTTATGTCCCAGCTACTAGGGAGTCTGAGACAGAAGGATTCCTTGAGCCTAGGAGTGCAGTTCAAGTTCATCCTGTGCAACACAGCAAGACCTCATCTCTTTTAAAAAAAAAAAAAAAAAGTCAGCCAGGCGCGGTGGCTCAAGCCTGTAATCCCAGCACTTTGGGAGGCCGAGACGGGCGGATCACGAGGTCAGGAGATCGAGACCATCCTGGCTAACACAGTGAAACCCCGTCTCTACTAAAAAATACAAAAAACTAGCTGGGCGTGGTGGCGGGTGCCTGTAGTCCCAGCTACTTGGGAGGCTGAGGCAGGAGAATGGCGTGAAACCGGGAGGCGGAGCTTGCAGTGAGCTGAGATCCGGCCATTGCACTCCAGCCTGGGCGGCAGAGCGAGACTCCGTCTCAAAAAAAAAAAAAAAAAAAAAAAAGTCAGTTAAATGTTTCTTATTCAAAAACACTTGACAGATACAGTTAGATGGAATAAGTTGTAGTATCCAATAATAGAATAGGGAAATTATAGTTAACCATAATTTATTATATATTTCAAAATAGCTAGAAGAATTATGTTCCCAACACAAAGAGAAGATATATATTTGAGGTGATGGATACCCTAATTACCCTAATTTGATCATTTCACATAGTATACATGTATCAAAATATCACATGTACCCCCAAAATAGGTACAACTATTATATATCATTTTTTAAAGGACTTGAAAGGCTTATGAAGTCTCTCATTATTAAAAAGCATTCTTGGGCCGGGCGCGGTGGCTCAAGCCTGTAATCCCAGCACTTTGGGAGGCCGAGACGGGCGGATCACGAGGTCAGGAGATCGAGACCATCCTGGCTAACATGGTGAAACCCCGTCTCTACTAAAAAATACAAAAAACTAGCCGGGCGAGGTGGCGGGCGCCTGTAGTCCCAGCTACTCGGGAGGCTGAGGCAGGAGAATGGTCTAAACCCGGGAGGCGGAGCTTGCAGTGAGCTGAGATCCGGCCACTGCACCCCAGCCTGGGCGACAGAGCAAGACTCTGTCTCAAAAAAAAAAAAAAAAAAAAAAAAAGTTTAAAAAGCATTCTTGTTACCATTAGGCATTATGATTTCGCTTTCATGAAAACTTTATAAACATAAACGGTGGTTGATTTTGTCCTTTTTTGTTTGTTTCCATTTCCCTGGCAGTGCTATTGCTAAGCAATGAAGAAAAGGAAGGAATATAGGAGGTATCGCTAAAGAGAGACTGATTTCTATGGGGTCAGTGAGTCACCCAAACTTCAGACATGGCAGGAGATGCTGGGTGCGGGTGGCAGTTGACCCTTTGTAGAAACTTAAGAAAAATGAGAAAAGAACACTTAAACATATTTGATTTGTATTGATTCAAAAAATATTTAGATAGTTGCAATTTATAGCATTTTCGTTTTTATGTTATTCAGATGGAGATTAAATATTCTCTGGCTTGACCGAGTAGAAATGTATTCAGCGCATATGTTGGACTGTTAACATGATAGGAATTTTCCAGACTCTGTCTTGTAGATGTGTTAGGCCACATCTTTTTTGAGTTCCTTATTCTAGTATTATATATTTCCTGCTTCCTTGCCTAAGGAGAGAAATGGACTTTGTGTGAATAATCTCAGAGTCTCCCCTATGGGTCTCAACACATGGCTTCTGGTTTCCTGAAATTCTTTTGGTGTAGTTGCTCTATCATGCGAGAAAATTGCTTAATGGACAGGAGAAAAATCCAATGGACAAACATTGGCAACTCAAACAGAAACTCAGATGACAACTCAAAATGGATAATTAGGTTTGGTCTGTAGAACTGCAGAAATCCATCTGCTAAACAACATGCCTGCGGTCCCCAGAGTCCAGCTCCGAAAACCCAAATAGTCTTTTAAGAAGGATGAGTGCCAAATAAAGGGAGAAAGAAGGAAAGCTCTCAAACCAAAACAAACAAACAAAAAAC